TTATCAAGAATCATTAAATTGTCTTTTTTAGAATCTAGAACTCGTATATATTCAGGATTTTGAATTTATGTCTACTGAAATGTACTTATCAAGAAATGAAACATGACAACTAATATGAGACAGGGCAGAGTAACGATTCTGTGTAAGCACACACCTTAGATGGAAATGAATCTTACCTTTTGTTCAAAATAATTCACCCAAAACCTAGCCAAAGCTCTTTGATAAGAATCAATAGGTAACAATGGATATTGATTTGGCCATATTTGATCAAGATATTCAAGAATGATCATAGATTCACAAATTGGTTTTCCATCATGAACAAGAATTGGAATTTTCTTGAAAATAGGATTATATTTCAAAAGCAAATCACTTTTATTTGCAAGATCTTCTTCTATATATTCATATAATAAGCCCTTTAATTTAAGAGCCCATATTATTCTTAATGAATATGGACTTGCCCATGATCCATGGAGCTTCAAATCTTGATCCATTTCTTTAATTTTCTTCATCATTTAGTGTCATTTTAAAGAAATGTTATGCTTGATCAACAAGAAAGTTTTGAAATTTTTTTAAGAGGAAGTTTTGACTAATGTACATTTTTTTTCTTATACTATAATAAATATTAGTAGTTATTTATGAATTTATTATCAATTTTATTCAAAGAGTACGTAGACTTACTCCATCATCATTATAATTGAGGCATACAGAAGATAAAATGTATCTAAATTTTAATTTTTTTTTATCTTTTGAGAAGATAAATATATTATTTTTTATAAACTCTCGAATCTAGTTATATACAGCTAACTCAATTAATCATATATTTAAACTCTTCTTCTAATTATATTTTATCCTTTTTTTTTCTTTTTCTTTCATTTTCTATTGGGTAGGTAGATGGTTGTTAGTTCAATAAAATATTTTTCCTACTCTGAGGATTAAATTTGATTAATTCTTTTTTTTTTTGTAAAAGTTTGAATTTTGACTAGTTGCTTATTTTCTATTGAATTATAGGATGATGAGTACAAATGATTCAAAATATTTAGGAGATGTTCGAAAAAAATAATAATCAAAGAAAAATATTTTTATTAAAATAATAACATTACCAACCCTTTTAAAACGGAGAAAGTAATTTTTTATTATCATAGTTTGACAAATTAAAAATTTCAAGAAGATGACAATTTCATTTTTTTTGGATTCTTTAAAAACACAAACATTTCTTCATAATTAGGGAGATTCTCTTTGATGATTTGTTCTTCTTTGAAATTTTGTACCCAATTTAATAAATTAGGAAATAAATTAGGTTCCAATAATTTCACACCAATAATATCTTCAATAATTTCAAGCCAATGAGGAATTACTCCAAAAGCCAAGTCCACAATCCCAATTTTCTCACCACCAAAAAAAATATTTTCTTCATCTTCAATAAAGGCTTGTTCTTCAATGATTTTGAGCATTTCCATTGTTTCTTTGATGGCCTTTTCTTGTTTTTCACCACTTGTGTAATACATTGTCCCGACACATGCACCCTATATGACAATATAATTGATACAGATCGATTTAAAATTTAACTAGATAATTTAGTTTTACAGACGATTATCTAACTTTAAGTTTATAATAAACATCACGAGAAATATTAAATATGATCGTATCCCAAGAACAACATATGTAGGATGCCAAAAAATATAATTTTTTCTTAGTGATAGTACATAAACATGACCTTTAACTTGACGTCAACGAACAATGCCCTCCAACTTTTATAAGAACAAGTGGACACAAGTGTCCTACATGGCATAATACACGTAAAATGCCACGTATAGTACAAAATTGTCTTGTAGGGTGTCATGTAGGACTAATGTATTCATTTGATCAATTTTTTATACAAGTTTAAGTGTCTGGCAAGTGTATATCCAAAGTTAAAGGTCATAATTATCAATTAACGCCAAGTTAAGGATCATATTTTTCTTATGTGAGTACGACTACGTCAACAACAACTCACCTTACGTTGATACAACGCAGAAAATGAAATCTAATTAGTATCTCATTTTCGATCATCGTGATTTTTTTTTTAAAAAATGTTGTGTCACATCGATATTAGGTAAGATAAATTACCTTGTTGAAGTAACAACCTCATGTTTTCTTTGATATGTAGGTATAATAGAATTGTTTCTTTGATATATATTGAATTATTTTGATATTATATACCGCAAAAGTTACCTTCTAAAGTAAAATTCTTTTTGATATACAGGCATAATCGAAATATTTTACTATTATCTATTTAAAGGTTACTTTCTAAAGTCAAACTTTCATGAAATTGATATGCCAATTAAAAATTGAAGATACAGATCAAGAAATTGAATTTCAATTATTTGTGAAAAAATATCAATTGGTTGAAAACCTTGATAAAGGAAAGATATGATGTGTATGAATCACTCACATATTCTTCTGAATTATATGTATCCGCGGGATTAATTTGGAAAAAACAGTAGGGATATGCAAGAACAAACAATTTTTATCGGAAACGTTCCTCTAATGAATTCACTGAAAACATCTATAGTCAAATGGAATATATAGAATTGTGATCGATCAATCAAATATTGCAAACAGATTAGTTTAGCTCTAAAACGAGTATCGAAATGAAAAGACATACCTTATCTCCAGCAAATTTAACCCAAAATCTTGCAATGGATCTATCAAGAGGATCAATAGGAAGAAGTGGATTTTGAGGCCAAGTATCTTCAATATATTCAATAATCACCATAGATTCAGAAATTACTTTTTCACCATGAAAAAGAATTGGAAATCTCTTAAAAACTGGATTATATTTCATAATTAAAGAGCCATTATTTGAATGTTCTTCTTCTATATACTCAAATGGTATTCCTTTTAGCTTTAAAGCCCAAATAACCCTATAAGTAAACAAATTATAAGATGTTCCATGGAGTTTTACTTCATCCATTTTTGATAAATACAAGAACAAAAAACTTTACTCTAATGCATATAATTGAAATAATAGAAGCCCTATATATATGAAATTATCATGTTATAGTTTCATGGACCACTTTGCGTTTTTTTTTTTTAATAAAAAAATTAGAGTTTAAGTACTACCTAATGATATAAAAATACAAATCAGATAATTTATAATACATATATAATCTTTTATCAAGTGTTTGATATCCACATAGGAATAAAACGTTTCTTAACAAAGACAATTTCATACTCATCAGAAGTCAGTTCTCAAGCTCGAGAATTCAAGATCACTGATTAAATAGTATATGAAAGAGTAATTATCAATTAGTCACCATGTTTTATAGGAACAACAATATTCTATCACTTCTATAGCTAAAACATCTTAACATCGAAGTTCTGATGTGTTTCAGTGTAAGAAAATTATGTTGATAACATTACGTAATAATATGATAAAATTACAATATTTAAGTACATGATCTTTTGAAAATAACTTTTTAACCTTCACGAGATAATAATAAATTCATGTATATTCAAATCTCTTTGAGTCTCTATTTCGTGAATTTTCATTGAGAATATTATTGTTATCGATAAAATTACTAAAATCCAAAGATAAAGGATATAAGTATGTTTTGTTTCTAGTTGCTACATGAGATTCCATATCTTTTGCCCTTTTTAGTTGATGTATATTAATATATTAATATTATTAAACTTAATTGTATGGATGTCCTTTTTATGATAAAAAAGTAGATAGAAAATATGATCATATTATTTAGGTAAAATCATGATTGATGATAAAAAAGTAGATGGAAAACATAATCATATTATTTAGGTACAATCATGATTAATTATGACATAATTAAAGATTTAAATAAATCATAAGAAACAATTTTGATTTCAGAGTTAAAATTGACATCATTCTAATTGGTCCCAAAAAAAGTTTAAGAGAAATAGATTAAATTATAAGGTGATTTGCGTATATTTTATTTTTTCAAAAAATTGTATATGTTATTTGTTATTGTTATATTATACTTTTTTTTGGAAGGCTGAAATCCTTAATTATTAGTATTTTAATTCTTTTTCCTAATCTTATAAAAATACTATTATTTTTTTCTAATTCTACAAAACAATACGTAAAATAATATATAATATATAAAAGTCTCTTTATAATACATATATAATCTTTATTTAGTTTAGCTAAAAAGTCTCTTTTGACAGAATTAACTCTTTTTATTTATAAAATATATTACTATTTTTTTGAATTGTATTTATTTTCTTTATGTATCACACATTTATATTTATATTTTTCAAATCTCATGAATAAAAGTCTTAAATTCGTTATTGTATACGTATTATTTCCTCAAATCATTACGAATGTCCTCGTATAATTTTTTTCAAAATTGTTCATCATTCGAGAAATGTGTTTTACTCATTAATCTTCTATGCAACTTTGTGTTTTTCTTCTTCTTCTTTACTAACACTAATTAAATTTTGTAATATGTATTAATTTGGAACAACAAGAGATATAGCTAAAAAGAATTCGAGAGAATTTTCTTTCGAATTGATGTACAAATGAATTGAATAGACTTTTTCTTATCGAAATAAAATTGCTCTATAAGCTACTCGCAAATTGATGTAGAAAGTTGTTTACTAAGCTACGTGCAAGTTTCTTGTAGGAGTATTTTTATTTTTTATTTTATCTTTGATTTTTGATGTCTATATATAAAGTTTTAGTAAATTCAAATAAAAAAAATAAAATATTTTCTAACAAAAATAATTTCGTACGCGTATTGACGTTGTTTTATTACAACTAACTCCCTCCCCGGTAAAACCCAAACCCCGCCGGCCACCGCCTCAGCCTTATAAAATCCAAAAGACTTATTTGCGAAGTAATCAGCTCAAGATTCTTGATTTTCTGGACACCCTTTTACTAATCACCTCCAATGACAGAAACCAGAACCTGCGAGTTTGGTCATATAAAGAAGACCACCATGAGTAGTGAAGATGGGGTTTCTGGGTTGCCCTGTTTTGGGGTTGAAGATGATAAAGGTGGAATCTTGGAAGATCGGTTTGCAGAAAAAGGGAAGAAGAAAAGGAGAATTTGTGAAATGGGTTGGTTGAGTGATCCATTAGTTGTTCTTGGGACAGATGTTATGTTGATGATTTTGAGCTGTCTAGACGCACGCAGCGTGGCACTGTGTCTCCTTGTATCTCGTGGATGGAGGGCTGTTGCTTCTTCTGATAAGATTTGGAGCTCCAAGGTTTGAACTTTCATTTAGTTGAGTTGTCAAAATTCAATTTTGGTAAATTAAGGTTCATTTCATGTCAAAACTTTGTTACTACAATTGTGTTTTTTTTGTTATATGGTTTTATCCCCGAAATCGCTCCTCAGTCGCAAATTGTAATGCTTTTTTACTACTTATTTATCAAAATTGGTATATCAAAGCAAGAACATTTACTATGTTGTAAGTTTAGGAGTAGACGGATGCCTTAGTGTGGAGGTGGGCTATAGAGGTATAGTTATGCTGACGTAGGATATGACCTTAGATAGGAGGTTGTGGAGAATATGGATTAGGGTAGATTATTAGTAAGAAGTGGCGTGTTATCTTGCTAATCCTTCCATACTAGTAAAGTTTCATGTGATTCGATGCTAACCTCTATGTATTGCAAGAAACTCCTATGTGTACTTATGTATACCTTAATGAAAGCCTAACTATTTCAGCCTTCTAAATTGGAACTTGCTAAAAGGTTGGGATACATTGGAACAATGATCCAAATAATCTTAATGTTTTGAATTCAAAAATGCCGCCAACCAGATTGTGTCAAATTATAGCTTTAGGAACACTTTGTATAATCCAATGTCTTTTCTTCAAATGACCGAACTCTCACAAATAATGCAAATACTTAGGGGTGACAGTAGTGGAAATAGCTAGTATGAAATTTCTTGGCACTTACCTGCTGTGCTAATACTCCTGTAGTTTCATGTACTTGATTATTGTATTGTTTGTTTAGTTACTGTTCCTTTTTTTTTCAAAATGCTTTTTCTTGCTTTTTGTAATATTTTGATATAGTTTCTTCACCTCTGCTATTTTTTTAACCTGATTTGAAATGTCTTATTGGAAATAACCTCTCTACCTCATAAAGATAGGGGTAACGTCTGCATATACTTTACACCCCCTGGACCCAAGTGGGATTACACGGGGTATGTTGTTGTTGTTGCAAGTTTTACATTATTGTTGGGTCAATTTTCACTTGCAGCTGCAGGTCCTCTCTGAACATTTCTAGTTGGTTTGTTGGGAAGATGATAAATTGTTGAAGATGAATTGTCTCTTTATGTTTCTTGCTCTTAATTGCTTTACCAGGTATTGGAACATAAATTCTTCAGGGACTATTCTTAAAATTGGATCTTCTTTTCCTAAGAACATTGGATCTTCTTCTATTTTAACGTCTTCCCTTAGAGACTACAAATTATGTAAAAAACACATTGTCTTTGTGTATCTTCTTGCCCATTTGATCTGGAGTTTAGCCCTTACAAGTATACACATTGTGTGCTCTTTGCTAAAACTATGCTATGTTATCTTTAAATATCACCCCCCTCAAAAGGAATTTTCATCCTTTACCCGTCGCAAACAAGCAAATAAGACCTTACATATTCTCTTTCTACTTGTGAGTTATTTATATGATGTGGTGGTAGCTAGTGTTAATTGAATCATATTAGTGGTCAGAAAGTAGTTTTGGATTTTGAAGAGTTGGAAAGAAAAAATCTGCAGCCTATGATTTGGTGGTAGCTATTACATATTTTAAGAAAGGGAAATTATCACCGAGTAACTTATGAAACTGGAGGTAACCATAGTCAAATAAACATGTGATAGAAGTTCATTTCAAGCTGTAAGGTTATTCCAGGAAGACCAATGACCGCCCAATATAGGTATAGTGTCTTAGACTTAAAGCTAAAAAGCGGAGCTAGAAAAGGAAATGACTTGCAAACAAACTGCAGATTAAGTGGTAGAATTAGTAGTAACCAGTTAGTGTTTCAAGGAAAACTATGGAAGTCATGTATGAGGAGAACTATGCCAACACACTCGACGACTCCATAAGAAATTTCGATTGTGGAATATGGCCTTCTGAAAGCTTAGAAGCTTAGTGTCTATGAACCACGGTGTTGGAAGTTTGGGCCCCTTCTCATCAATAACCAGCCCAAAAGATAACTTCTTTTGGGATTTGAAAAATTGGTTGAACCAACGTGGACATCCCAGGCTTCAATCTCTACTAAAACACTTGATGTGAGTCCATCTACTTCTGAAAGCTTAGAAGATTAATGGTTATGAACCATCACGATATTGGGAGTTTGAACCACCGCCTCGCCAACAATCAGCCTAAAAGGAAAGTAGACTTTCTAGGGGTTGAAAATTAGATTGAGCTTTGGGATAAATATGTGGAAATCCTAGGTTTCAGTCTTAGTTATAACACTGCTTGTGTGGGACCATCTACTCAAGTCATGGTGGTAGGATTACCATGGTGGCTTATACTTGCGAGTTGGACTGGCTGCACCATAGTCAAGGTGCATGCATCCGGATACTATTAATGAAGAAAATAAAGAGAAAAAAAAATATTATGATACTGTTTTTCTTGGAGTCATCAACAGTTCCATAAAAGTGAAATGAGTTTTGCTCAGTATTTGTTGTTTCCTTTCACTAAATGTTAATGATTCAGAGTTCGTCCTTTGTAAAATGACGTTATTTTCTTCCTTCATGCTCTTAGCGAGTAAACAACAGTAAATTCTAAATAAGAAGAGATGAAGTCATGTGCAAATTTAATTACAACTTCACAGCAGATCAATGACAGCAGATCAATGATCTTTCTTGGCATCTCTTTGTAGTGTGAAGAATTATGGCGAGGCAAAACACATTTACCTCGGTTAGCAAAAGTAAATGATTTGTCGAAGTTGGTCGTTTACTCACTGTCTGTAATGGATGGTAAACGTGTGAGTATTGGAACTCTCTCCTTAGCACTTCCACATACAATATACGTTAATCTTTTTCGTTTGATTTGTCTGACGTTACTTCTTCATATATTATTTTTCTTAGAAGCGAATAAGAAAGGAGGATTTGTATGATCATGTGTGGGAGTTCCATTTCACCGAGGTATGAGCCTATTTATATTCCTTCTTTCTAAGTCTTACTTGCCAATTTTGGAAGTCCATGAATAGGCATTATCCACCCATATAAATCATGCATGGCTGCAGCTCGCACCAAATTGAGTAGATATAGTTTGTACGTGCTTGAGAAAACTTAAATCTGTACGATTGAAGTTAAAACGTCCGTTTGAGGGTCGGTCTTTGTGTAGCTTTGCAAGTAGTTGGTAAGACTGCATAATACCTTCATTTCTTGTTCATTATGTTTAACTTTTTGTTCTTCACTGGTCAGTTTCATAGAGCTTTTGCCAAAATTGAAAACGGTTTGCATGGTTCTGTATCCTGTAAGTGCTATTTGAACCACTTCTGCTGCTGCCTTTGATTGCTATTTCTTCACAGTTTAATGCATCTGGATTCAATAAAGCTTTGATTGGAAACTAGAGGAAGGAAGAGAAGTTTTTTGGTTTGACAAGAGAGTGAAAAAAACGAAGTGAAGCAGATTTCCCTCTTTCCTTTCGCTAGTTTCCGTCATAGGATAACAAAGATAAAACATAATCCTTGTATAACTACAACCTATACTACTTGTGTGGACGAATCCTTAGGCGGCTCCTGAGTACTGGCGAATGCTCGATCCCTACAGGAATGGAACTGGACGTCCCCTGCGCCGTTATTTTCTTCCAGATGGAAGTCAGACTGCAGAACCAGATGACAAGATATGGGGTGGTCATGAATCTTGCTACTCCATAGTAACTAGCTTGCTTGCAGATGGAAATATAAGAGAACACTACGTGAGGATAAACCGTTGGCCGCCTATGTATGTGACAAGGAAGGAAGATTGGAGCTGGGAGATCTCTAACAACTTTTGTACCTACAAGAGCATACCAGATGCTGATAAAAAAGATGGCACTGGACCTTTGTTTCTACTTCACTAGGCCTCTACAGTAGTTTCTACTTTGAAGCCAAACTATGGAGATGTTTGTTTGAATAATTGTAAGGCCTTTTGTAAAGTATATTTTGTTGATATTAATAAGTTTTGCAAGTTTTAATTGTTGCTACTTTATTCAAAGTAATGCGCGAGATACATTAATCGTTTGATAAGATACATTACATTTTATACGTGATACACTAATCTGATGCGTGAAAATGAGAAATTTCGGAGATTAGTAAAACTAATAGGGTAGTAGTAGTTCTCAAACACCATGGGATTAGTAATAAGACAATTTACTGTTAAAGGGAAGTGAAAAAGAAGTACTCTAATGATAATAATAATTAGGAAAACAATCTTTAGCATAACTTAATATTTGTCAGAAACATTCAAGGATAATTTCTGCTAGATTTGGCTTCTCTAGTGTTTTGAGGCAACTGGAAAAGCCACTTCCATATTGTAATTGGATGAAAACACATTGAGAAGATGGATGATGAAGGACGCCTATTCATTAAAAAACGATCTGAATCAACTATAAGAGAAACATGAAGTTGCATTGTCTCTTATGATCCCAACTCGTAATGCTAATAGCGTTAAAGCAATCATCTTAAACATGTTGCACAGATTTTGCAGATACAATTTTATTCCAATGAGGAAAGAAATCCGAAAGAAAGTATGACCTCCACTGACATGAACCAGTTTTTCGTGCTGCATGTCCTGGAAGCTTTACCAGCATCTCTTACCAGACATCAGGACGAAGCTCTCCAGTTGCTGGAGGCATCCATTTCCCAGAGTTGTAAACACTTTCACCAACTTTCCAACCGGGAACATCCTTCATGATTCTCGCCTCTTCTTCAAGATACTTCTTCCACTCTTTAACAAATCTAAATAAGCAAAAAAAAAAAAAAAGTAGGATAAGTTATAACGAGTTCCAGAGTACGATAAATAAACAGGGCATGGAATGGAAACAAATTCAAGGAGGCTCGCCTTTCATCTTCTTCAGCTTGAAGCATGGGTAATATAGCCCTTCGGGCAGCATATTTTTCTTCCTTTATCACCCTACATAGTGAAAATATTATCAGAACTTCTTCTAAAGAAGTTTGAGATTGACGGTGGTTTTGGGAACTATGGAGGAGGTGTCAACCAGTGCACATATTCCAAAACATAAGAAGGGAGTTTTAGGTATGTCCTCAGATCAAACAACTTCTCCAAGCTCCTCCAAGAACCCCGATATCAGAGAGCTCTGACTCCTATGTTTTCAGAGCATGGATAACAAATGATGACCCAATATTGATTAAAATAACATCAATGATGCATCTAGCCCTGATATTATGCTCGAATGAAAATGGACCTTGGGACTATTTCAAATCCAAGAGTTAGCTCATGAATTGAAAATACTCCACTACCATATAGAAAGACAAGAGTCCACACCCTCAAACCAATGTATGCGTAAGGTGAGAAGTGACCAAGACAACATATAGATATTAGAACAGAGACCCCCAAACCATGTGGGGCTTAACACGGGCATGCTCCATTTAGAGCATAGATGAAATAACATGGCAGTTTAACATTAGGTAATTAAACACCAGGATAGGTTTGGCTCTAAATACCAAGTTGAATTGTGTGACTACCTTATCTTAAAACTTCAAAATTATTAGAGTGAAGGCACCTTTATTTATTTGTATTAGGTCTTCAACCCAAACAATTGATGACTAATGTAAATAAACAACATCCAGAGTCCCACAAGCAGTAGAACTTCATCCCCCTATTAGTTAATCATATGATAAATGCTTAAACATGAGTTTTACATAAAGAGAAAAAGCTGGCAACACAAAATAGATTTTCAAACATGTAGAAGGAATGAGATGCATGCTGATTTGAATCACTAACAATATCATAGGTGAATTGTTCATTGTGACGCAGTGATAAAGCCAATTCCATTGATCCAATTGATAGTTTTGGCTAACCAGAGATGTGAATATCTTAGCTGAAAATAATATCTAAGAAGAACTGCCCCAGCTGGTTATTCTATGTTCTTATGGAACACCCCAACTTTACGTGATTTACCCAAATAAAAAAGAAAGCATGTGAATTCCAAATAAATTGTGTAGTTTAATCCCTCTCCATTTTGGCTTGTTTTGGATCATGCCCCAGTCCATCAAGGAAGCCTATATCAACTGCAATTTTTAGACAGTTGACAAAGCCATCAAAAAAGATCTGGAAAATGATTCCCGCAGTCATTTTTCAGGTTGTTTGAAATGAAAGAGACTACATGTGTTTTGATGGAATATCAACTGCAAAATTGATCATAGCTAAAAGCTAACTTCAATATGGGAAGTATGACACTATGCTAAGAGATTATCTATTGTATTTGAAGGAGATTAAGATCATAAATTTACTAATTTATTTTCAAAGTATAGAAAGATAACCCAGGGGGGAGCACATAAGAAGACTCACTAGTATTGTAGTTATTGGTGACAATCACAAGCCTCTACAGTTGAAACCCTCTAAAGTTGAAGATTTGTAAACTGGTGACACCTATCCCCCACCCCCAAACCAAAACAATGCAGACAAATAAATTTTCAAGCAGATGAGAAAAAACTGGCAGCTCTCGTACTCTCTTCTTCATGATCTGAGTTCAGATTTTATGCGTGAGAAAAACTTTCAGGTTGGACATGAGAAACAGTAAAGCTCTGGCTTTGGAAATCGGATTCTCGATGACGACTATCCTCACTTTCAAGCCATTGAATTTAAAGGATTTATCATCTCCACGAGATAAATCTTTTTGGTGTTGCCAAATGAATTATAAGAAAGAGATAACTAATGAAGACAACTTCATTTTTATTTTTTTTTGGATAAGATAACAAATTCATTTTTTTTATTGTTAATGAAAACTTCTCTTAGGATTATACATTCCAATATCTCCATCCAAGGGTTTGCAATAACCACACGATGACAGTTCACCAGAGCATCAAGACAGTCACAATTGGCTAGATCTGAAAATAATATCTCGCACTATTTCTTCTTTTTTCCTACGTCAGAGAAATGTCCTTTGGGATTCCATCCCGACTTTGTTGGCCAACAGGTTTAAAATTCCAGGGACTATGTGTCCCCACCCATCTACAGTCTACCCTCCAACCTGCTTAAATATCCTGCTAACTAGAAACTCCGTTATCTTTCACTCCATCTTAAATTCCATTTTTCGAGAGAACCTATCATTCAAAAAGATGATTCATCAGATTTCTGACTACTCTATGAAGTTTATAATATCCTTCTTCAGAAGATACACAACTCAAAAGGGCCATAACATGAAATCTGACATATGCAATACCTTAAAGGCTTTCCTGTTAGCAGAGGAATCTTCATTAAAATTCATTCATATCTATAAGATCTACAGTCACTGGAAGCACCAGGACAATTGCTGGAGTCTGTCCCATAGAAAGGATGGAACACATTTATTTTGATGATCTATTATTGCTTACCAGATACAAATCTGTTAACTGGTGTTTCCATCTCAAGAAGCTTTATAAGCACTGGAGTATGTTAACTGTTAAGGGGATAATACATTCTATTTAACTTAATGAAAACAACTCAATAGTCCAAAATCCAGAATGCCCCTTCCATTTGGAGCAAACTTTTCTATCTACTGTGAAAGGATCCTGATTTCGATGATTTTGGAAGTATGAGAAATAACCACAGCCAGCATGCCACATTGGGTACTAGCTTTTATTTCACAATCAGACAAACCAGCAAACTAGACATTCTGGTTCTCCTCTAACTGGAGCAGTTCTGCTGTGCAAAGAAACAACTTCTTAGAGTAGCAATCACTTGCTTCAAGTCAACAAATGACAAGATTATCAATGATGCACACAAATCTTAATAGAAAGTAAAAAATCAAGACCAATTTGTACTAGCACGTAAAAGTAACCTACTCAAGATATAATTTTTCACAGAGTCATCACATTTCTGCTGAAGTGTACACCCATCACCACAGATCAACACCCTTGCTCAAGGACTGGTTTCAAATCTACCACTTTCCATTCTTAACTCAAAACTCGGGCGTATGCTCATCATGAGTCACAGCCTAATACTTCTCTTTAATCGGAATCCACACATTTTAAAAACCTTTTCTTCAATCTAATTCCACTTACCAATTCAGATGAATTGTCAAATTCCACCTACCTTAATCAAATAAACTGAAAAGAAAAACAACAAGAAGCTCGATTCTTAATCAGCTCAACTCAACCATAGCACACAAATTCAGCTAACATTTTTAGGGTTTACCAAGAACCACAATCAGCTATCACCCACATAACCCAAAAAAAAGAAAAGGAACAAACTTTTTCACAAACAACAAAAATTAACACATACCCAGATCAAATCAAGCCAAAATAAACACACCCAAATGAATTTTCTTCTCACAAACTTAAAAAAAAAAACTCGATTCATACCTTCGCTTCTTATTTCCTACGCCGACTTGGTACATACCCCATGAGAAAACACCAAAAGCAGTAAGGAAAATAGCCATAGCACTTGGACCAGTGTTAGGGATCCGGCGAGCGAATCGAACCGGTGCAAAACCGCCTGGTGGTGGACCATCTTGCAATAAGGGCATGTCTTTCACGCTAGCCATTCCGGCTTTCTTCCTTATCATTGCCTCCGTCATTTTTCCTACAGTGTGATTTTCCCTCTGTGCCGGAACACTGTAATTTTGAGCTGCTTTACAGGGCTACAGTGATGGCGATTCAATGGAGAAGAAAACTGCGATTTGGAAAAAAGTTGAGAAGAAGAAGAAGAGATGATGGTAATGTCGGGTCGGGTCGGGTCGGGTCAGTATACTAACCAGTGGAAATTTGACACGTTAGCTTGACCCTGCGGGTGATATTGTGAATTCTCACTGTCCAGTGATCCTAATAATTATGCTTATTTTTTAAAGTAATTAATTATTATTAATGTTAAAAATACACCTAATATTATTATTAATTGCGAGTTTCATATTTAACTAATAATTTTTTATTTATTTAACTTGATTTATTATTATTTATATTTCATATTTAATTATTAATTTTTTATTATTTAACTTGATTTATTATTATGTATATATTAAGAAAATAATTGATAGTGAAATGAAATAGAGGCAAGAATGAATTATCAATGTTAAAGATAAAAGGTTTGAGGTCTTGAAATGTCATATTAAATTACATATAATCTTTATAGTCTGAAACTATTAAGTATGTGCTTCATTAAGACACATTTTAACTTTATTTAAATATTTAAATATAATAAATATATATAATTTGATATTTATATTGAGTGCGAATAATTTTTCACCTTATTAAAGTACGTGATAATTTAAGTGTTTCATTAGTTTAAGACTTTGTGAGGAGTGAAAAATTGTTCAATTAGTGAATACGTATATTTTATTATCGAGGTATTACAATATTAATAATTATATATCAAGTGAAATTCAACCATTGAGATTTAGGTGAAAAAAATATTTTTAAAAACCCTTTAGGTTATGTAACACATAACAAATGCAATAAATAATATACAGAAGTAAAGAAGACATAACGAATACCATAAAAATATTACATAATATTCAAAAAAAAGGAATAATAACAATACTAAAATAATGTAATAGCCAATAAGTAGTAAGAAATAATAGATAGTAACTACGAATATATTGCGAATAATCTCAATATTGACAGTAAACAAAGTTAGATAAAATCAGATCAAAAAATATATAAAGATGTCTCAAACAAAGATGATACAACTTATTTGACTGCAAGTTGAATAAATTACAACCTTATTTAGATTATTATTTCGGTGGTTGACCCAGAAAATGCTATAATAATTCTGAAAAACTAACAATCAAATCGTAAATAAATATATTTAAATAAAAGGGAGCAACTTACTATGATGAAAACGTCAACATTTGCCTAGTTTTTTTTTCTTCTAATGTTGCAATTTATGTTTTCTTTTTTCTTCTTTTACTTTTTATTATAAATTACCAACTTTTTATGTGAACTATTTATTTTTATTTTAATTAATTATTATCTTGAATATATGATTACAGTAAACCCTCTTCCATAAAACCCTAAAACCCTAGAAGGTGCTTCTTGGGATCTTCTAGGCCCTTCTTCACTAAATTAAATACCTTTGAAGCTTCTTCTTCATCCCCACTTCTCTCTTTGTACTTCAAAATCCCTTTCCACTTTCACTTTCAGCAGCATTTCTCAGCTTCAAAATGTATCGTTTTGCAGCAAATCTTGCTTCTAAAGCCAGGTATTTTTCATATTATGTGACTTGCTTTTTTTTTTTTTTTGGTGTTTTATGTGTTGGAAGAGTGAAAGATTTGATTTTGACAAATACCCATTTATTTGTTTGTACAGTGTTGCAAGAACCAGTTCCCAAAAGGTGTGTTTTGTATGTTTGTTTTTTTATGTATAGATTAAAGATGTGGTATGTTTTGGATTGTTGTTTTAAATGGGGTTGTTGTAGATTGGTGGGAGGTTGAATTGGAGTAGAAACTATGCTGCAAAGGATATCAGATTTGGAGTTGAAGCTAGAGCTTTGATGCTTCAAGGTGTTGAGCAGCTTGCTGATGCTGTTAAAGTCACTATGGGTCCAAAGGTGAAATGCTTTATCAACCCCATTTGTGGATATACTCTGTTTGCTCTGTTGAATTGTATGTGGCATTATTGCTATTTGGGGTTGTGTAGTTTGTTTCGTATGTTGTTCTTATAGATAAATATGGTTAGTTATAACTTGTTACCTAGCATTTTTGTTGAAGGCGCCCTTGAAGCCCATGAGTGAGGCTCAAAACACATTGAGCACTTCTCGTTGGATAATGTGTGCTTTAATGTCGTCGTCCATACTCATTAAGATTTTTTTCGTTAGCAAGCTGTATTTTTTGTGCATTTTGCTTTTGATAATATTTTTACCTTGTTTCCAAATATGTGAAGTCAATTGTGTGTTGTCCAAAAATTCAATTGTTTGAACCTTGGAGGGGTTACTTGTTACTCAAGATTGTAGCAGAATTCATTACCCATGGAAAAAAAACAAAAGATAGTAGTGAAACTCATGCTACGAATCTGAATTTTGGTGAAAGAATCTTGTTTTTAGCAAATTATAGACATCTATTTTCCTATTCGTGTACATTGAATATTATGTTGATCTGATGGGGCTTTTCTCTTTCATTTGACTTGTTCATTTGTTGGATCTAATGGTTCAAGTTCATACAAAAATTGCAAAATTATCGCATACGCACATGCTTAATCTTTTGGAAATTGATAACATGAATTCAGTTATGTAGACATGTAAATGGGTTCCATCAAACATTAAATTATTGCCATTTTCAGATGCTCACATGCTTCTTATTGTGTTCTGGGAAGTACTCGTTAGGATTTGGGGCATATGCAACTTAAATGACATTTAGAGGAACTCCTCTGTTTTGGTCCCTACTAAGAAGAATTTGTTGTCCCAGCTGAAAATTATGTCTAACTGTCTATAAGCTTCTTTCTCTGGTTGGCCAAACTTCCTACATTTTGGGACAACTCGTTCTGTTGAAGCAAAAGTGAAATAGTTGCTTTTTTTCCTCATTGCTCCTTGCTTCTGCTGTTTGAGCTTGGAGAACACTAAGGCAGCAATACTTTCTCTGCCGACATACTTGTTGGAGATGAGAATTATTATTCATTACGTTTGTCTCCTATGTTCTGGTGGTAACAGATTCATCATCAACGGTGACAAATGATACTAGATGCCTATTTTGTAGGGGCGTAATGTGGTGATTGAACAAAGTTGGGGTGCACCCAAAGTGACAAAAGATGGCGTGACTGTTGCAAAAAGTATTGAATTCAAGGACAAGATACAAAATGTTGGTGCTAGCCTTGTAAAACAAGTCGCCAATGCAACAAATGATGTTGCTGGTGATGGTAAGTCTTTAGGCGTCCAGTATTGCCTCCAGTGCTGGAGTTTGATGTCTCTTTCTTTGTTGGACTGAATTTATGAATTTCCAGCCTAATATAATTGGTGATTCTGTCTCTTCTCTATTTTTTCAGGTACCACTTGTGCAACAGTTCTCACCCGAGCAATATTTGCTGAAGGATGCAAGTCAGTGGCAGCTGGTATGAATGCAATGGACCTTAGACGGGGTATTACCATGGCTGTAGATTCTGTTGTGACAAACCTGAAAAGCAGAGCACGGATGATCAGTACATCTGAGGAAATTGCACAGGTATCTTTGCAAGTTTTTGAACTTGCACATTAAAAATACTGCTTTTCTGGTACATACAATTCTCTATCTTTTGCAGGCAACCTCCTCCCTCCCTAGAAGCCTCTAAGCCTGACCCCTCCCAACCTAACGCCAAAAAAAAAAAGAGAAAGAAAAGAAAATAAACAGTGAAAAGGAACTCATAGGGAAGCAGTACTACTAGTAGAAGGAGAAAAAGGCAGAAGTAAAAGATTTCCCGTGAAAGTAGATTTAATAATGCACTGAAGAGTTCTGTGTAACTTCTTCTTTGCTTAAGTGATACTCTTCTTCTTCCCATAAGATTTTGATATTGTAACTATTGATAGGTTGGGACTATCTCTGCAAACGGAGAAAGAGTAATTGGCGACCTCATTGCAAGGGCAATGGAGAAAGTAGGCAAGGAGGGAGTCATCACTATTCAAGTAAGTAATCGTATTGTCTATCTATTTATGCATTCTCTGTATGCATCTTTTGGTCACTGTGGTCCTTACTTATCTCTGTGAGCTTCAAAATGAAGCTTCTGATTTCAATATGCTCTTGGGATGTGGGTGGAGCTGGAGTAGAAGATATATTTGCCGAGTTTAACTAATTGATACCTGATGAATATTAGTGTTATATGGGAGAATTTGGGCTAGAAATCAAGCATATAGGATTTTGATAAGTTATTTGTTGCCCAGTTATGAGAAACATCTTTTCATAGTCCAATTTGTATCTATTTGTTATACACTTCGGCTAATTTGTGGGAGACTTGTTACTTTAATGATGTGTAGCTAACTCATTTCTACTATCACACAGGACGGGAAGACATTGCTCAATGAGTTGGATGTTGTTGAAGGGATGAAGTTGGATAGAGGTTACATATCACCATACTTCATCACAAATCAGAAGAATCAGAAATGTGTATGTTTTTGGCTTGCTAATCTTAGTTAAGCTCACATGAGTTTGCTCGCTGTGCCAACATTCTTTACATATTTTGCACCATTCTCTTGTTTAAAATTCACTATTCTCCTGATGTCTGGCAGGAACTGGATAACCCACTAATTCTGATTCATGAGAAAAAGATCTCAAGCATTAATGCTGTTGTGAAAGCATTGGAGTTAGCTCTGAAGGTGATCCTCTTACTGAGATTATCAGTTTGGTGTCTATGAGATTGATCATGTTGCTGTCTATCTTACTCTTGCAGTCTTATTTCATCTATGCAGAGACAAAGGCCCCTCTTAATTGTGGCTGAAGATGTGGACAATGAAGCACTCGCCACTCTTATTTTGAACAAACTCCGTGCTGGAATCAAGGTATACTGATGAGTGATCGGTATTTCCTGTTCTGTGGTTCGACTTTTCCTCAGTCTGGTGATTATGTATTGTCTGTAAATGTCTACAGGTTTGTGCCATCAAAGCACCAGGCTTTGGTGAAAACAGGAAAGCTTATTTGCAAGATCTTGCTATTTTAACTGGAGGCCAAGTGAGAACTGTTGAACTGTGCTAATGTATGAGATAGTTGATATTTGTCTTAATGATACCTAACCAACGTGTATTACTGCTTGTTTGGTAGGTCATAACAGAAGAGCTTGGACTGAACATTGAAAATTTGGAGTTCGAGATGCTGGGAACAAGTAAAGAGGTATTTTTGCTGCGTGATTTGGCTGTAGTTGTTTCTTTTACTATGTATGTTTTCTTTTGAATATATATAAGTGCATGAAAAATTGTGCATAATGTGATACATGTTTGGTATTTCTAGTGAGTTATACGCTGGGTAGGGGGGGTCGACTTTATATATGTGTCTCCTACTGTTTTACTCATGCTTTCCTTTCCCTAGGCAACTATCTCTAAGGATGATACTGTCATTCTTGATGGTGCTGGTGAGAAGAAGTCCATCGAGGAACGATGCGAACTGGTTCGTTTTGCTTACTTTTTCACCAATATCAGTAAAAGCACTGTACTTCTGCATGAGGTTGAGCATATACTCGTGCTCTTTGTATTTGCAGATTAGATCAACCATTGAACAGAGCACATCTGACTATGACAAGGAGAAGTTGCAGGAAAGACTAGCTAAGCTTTCAGGGGGTGTTGCTGTGTTAAAGGTATGCCTCTGTTAGCAACCTGTGTAAATTAAGTTTCTAAAGAAGAATTCAAACTTTTTTATTAGAGGGAAATAGTTGCAACTGTTAATTCAGACTCGTTATTATAACATGCCATCACAGAATGTGTATTAATTTTCAGATTGGAGGAGCCAGTGAAGCTGAGGTTGGTGAAAAGAAAGATAGAGTAACTGATGCTTTGAACGCCACAAAGGCTGCAGTGGAGGAAGGAATTGTTCCAGGTTTAATACATGTCCGTGAGTTTGTAGCAAAATGGGAAGATCCAATAGTCCGAGATTATTGATCCTCTTTTGTCTTGCAGGTGGTGGTGTTGCTCTTCTTTATGCAGCAAGAGAATTGGATAATTTGACAACAGCCAACTTTGACCAGAAGATTGGTGTACAAATTATTCAGAATGCTCTGAAGGTTTGCTATGCTCCCTTCTAACCCTGCTAATTAGCTTCTTAGTAATAAAGTAGTTTCACTCCGAGTACTATCTTGTGTTGTGAATGACTTGTGACTTGGTTGAACTTTGTGTTTGCAGACGCCAGTACATACAATAGCCTCTAACGCAGGAGTAGAGGGTGCTGTCGTGGTTGGCAAATTGTTGGATCAGGACAACCTTGATCTTGGATATGATGCGGCCAAGGGTGAATATGTAGATATGATAAAGGCAGGAATCATCGATCCAGTGAAAGTGATCAGGACAGCTTTGGTCGATGCTGCCAGGTTAGCATATAACCCCCTTCCTATTTTCTTGTTCTTCCATCGTTAAGACTTGAGACATTGGCCTCACATTCTTGCCAACGTAACGCCCCTTGTGTTCTATGCAGTGTCTCGTCTCTTTTGACCACAACTGAAGCAGTTGTTGTCGAGCTTCCTAAGGACGAGAAGGAATCTCCTGCAATGGGTGGCGGTATGGGTGGTGGTATGGGTGGCATGGACTTCTGATTGAAAAGCCAAAAACAGTAATTGCAGCTGCTTGACACATTTGGTTTATAGAACAAAGCAAAAAAATAAATTTAGATTTATTTCCTATTTTGATGAATCTTTTTACGATAGAAAACGCGCCTATTGTATCAATAGCAAGAGAGACAAGACCATTGTGAATTCATGTTTTTGTAGGTTCAAAATTTGTAGTCTTCATTTGAATACGCAGCTTAAATATAGGTCCATTTCAGTGTTCCTTTCTGGTTTTACTATTATATTGAGGTGTGATGAATTCATTTATACTTGTTCTACTGTTCTTTTTTCGAAACTTTTTGACTATGGAGATTGAATCTCTCCAAGCAACGTTTTTCAGTAGCAAGCTATGGTTAAACTTTTTCCGCAGTTGAAATCGACAAATGAAACAATTAGACTCAATAGGTGCACCCCTGACCAAAATTTAGGAGCATCAGATTAAGGTGTCCAAATACAAGAGTGGTTGATTATAAATTGGACCCTATTATTGTTGAAGAATTCTGAATATTCCTAATATATTGTATATGAACATTTTTGAACGATAGCTTAAGAAAACTTCTGGCTCGTGGAATTAGGGGTGATAATGGTACGATTTGATCGGTTAATTTTTTCAATTTTAATTTTTTGTTTTATGGTATATAACTTTTTAAAATCATTTCAATCATATCGGTTTCTCTTCGGTATTGGTATGGTTTGATTAGTTTTCCATTATTTTTTACCGTTTATGTATCACCTCAAGATATACTAGTGTTAATGCACTTTAATTCATTACAAAATAAACGAGAATGTAAAACCTTGTTGCCGTAGTATTGTTTGATCTTAAATATTTCATAGAAGTGCTTGGATATGATTTGTTGTATTGTTTGATATAGTATCTATTGCAGTATCTTTTCATTATAAAGCTAATTAAGTAAAAATTAATTAAAGAATAAACACCCAAAATCATTTAGCCACCAGAAGCCTAGGATTTAAGTTATTTTTATATTTGAGAAATGTAATAATATACTTTTTATATATTACTTTTATATAAAAGTCCGCGATTTTATTGAAAAATAGTATAAGTTGGTTTCGATTCAATTTGATCGATTTTTCATATTCTTTTGACACCCCTAATTAGAACGATATGACCAAAGTAAAATTTTAAACAATTTTGAGATCTAATAAAATGTAAGTTACCAATTTTCACATTATTCATATGGGAATATTCTAAGAATTTAAATGTAATTATATTTATTCTTGTTTTCCCAATACATATATATGAAGTATAATTAGAATATTCTCTTTTAGTTACTGCAACTTATTCAATGAATTTCCATATTTGGCTTTTAATGATATTTTATGTAAAAATATTTTTACAGTATAAAAACCATCTAATATAATAGTTAAAGCCAAACACAAGAAAATTTGAACTTTCTAAAATGACTTGTTCACAAATCAAACCTATTTTCTTGCTATGTATTTTATTTTTTTGCTTTGCACAAGCAAAAGGGAGTATTTTTGATAGGCCAAAATATAATGTTTATGTATGGAATGCCCTACCAAATAATTCCCCTATACTGAGGGTTCATTGCGCATCTAAAGACGATGATATAGGGTTTCATAATATTGCTCCAACAACTAATATCAATTGGTCATTTCATGCTAGTAAATTGTTGAAAACTATGTTCTTTTGTCATTTCTGGTGGAAATCTAACGATAAATCTTTTGAGATATTCAATGATCTCGATACGTGTGTTAAGGATTCAAATATTACAGCTCGTGCAACTGTTTGTCAGTGGACTGTGAAGGAAGATGGTTTTTATTTGACTGATGGTCAAAATGTAGGTTATAAATATGGTGATTGGTGAAAAAAAATAGTTTATTTGTTTTAATATGTAATAGTTTATATTGTTAGAAATAAAAGTAATTTTTTTTTATTGTCATTGATTTCTCAATATATTGAATTATTAATTGGTGTGTTTGAAATGATTCTAATCCTTTTCTAGGTTAATGTTTAACAATATTTTCTTAGGTTTTTGATCTTTACATTGAGGTAGAATCAATCAAGACAGAACGCTAGTTCCATTTCGTAGAAAAGTATTACCTTAATTCGACGTGGTAAAATATTTCATATTTCAATATCTATTGATTTCGGCATTTCTATGATTTAAAGAATTCACCAGTTATACGACAATTAGCACAAACGTAAGTAAATGATAGCAAACACTATAAAAACCTCCTAAAAAATGTGAAGAATAACTTGTAAACTTATTGAATACATTAACTCATTTTTGTATATGAATATTTATAATATTTGAAGTATAATTTTTTGGGGGGAATTTTTGCATATAACCATTCAAAAATAACTTAATTATGCTCCATTGCTATAGTTATTGAATTATGATTCGTAGCTACATGTTAGCGGGATGAGAGGGGCGAGCGAGAGTAGACAAAAAGGTGAATTGTATATGTATATCCGTCAAATAATTGTATATATGTAACTGATATATATGTATATTTGTATATCTGACAAGCGAGATTGGGAGAGAGACGAGCGACAGATCAAGGGCAGAGAGTGGCGAGAGATGAACTGCATATGCATATTTGTGAGATAATTATGTTACTTGTATAACTGGTTTGGAATGTTAATGAACTGAGTTGGTTGGCTATCTGAACTTTAGGGAGTGTGATTTCCACCTCGTAATCTATGACTTTTAAGAAATATAGTTGAATTCTAGGTGGAACCGTAGTAGCTTAGTTGGTTGACTACCTGGTCTTTTTTGGGTTTGATTGCGCACCTTGTAATCCCCTCCATGAGATAGGAATAAGGTATACACTCTCCAGACAGCACTTGTGAGATTTCACGAGTATTTGTTGATGTTGTTGTATTGCCTTTTTTTGGAATATTGTGTCATCAAGAACTCCTAAAAAATTAAGTAGGTGTTACAAAAGTATGACTAAACTAATTAAAGATACCGAGGACAAAGATACATTGATAAGAATTTGAACGGAACTATTGTATTACATAAGTTAACAACACCCTATAGAATCTCGCATGCGGAATTTGAAGAGGGTAGAGTACACACAGACCATACCTCCACCTCGTGGAAGAAAAGGAGAATGTTTCTGAAGGATCCCATGCTCGAGTAAGTAATTTCGAGTAGTTGAATGATCATTTCAGTAATGGACTCCAAAAAGGTTTTACCAGAAGAGTCAAAACAATATACATAAGCATTGTCAAGAAAACAGCCAACATAGAACAAAATTACAGTCGCATACAGTAACAAAATAATTTTATCCATCAGTATACTGGGTGATCTCTTCCTATTTCTATCACTTCCCTTTCCGCTTCTTTTGCGTTCCTGCACAATCTGCGCAAAACCATTTCCCCTTGGGCTGTTCTTTGAGGCCAACGCAGCCGTAGTGGAACCACTCTATTTTGCACTGTTGAAGGGAATAGTAAATTTTAGCAATTGTTCAATGTACTAAAGTTTTAAGGAGATGATTGGTAAGACTGAGCTGAGTACGTACATTAGGATTGTCGCAAGCAACCATTTCACCATAGCTAACTTGATTGCAGAAACAGTATGTTGGTTCGTTTGGATCAACAGGCAGATCCAAATCCATTCCACTTGGTGTTGCTGCAGTGGCTGTAGCTGCAGCTGCTGTAGCAAGACGTGTTCTGCAGAACAAATTATTCTCTTCACAACAAGTTCAATATAATACCACGTAAGGACAGATATATACATTCACACAAGCGTTCATCAGTTGGGCCACAGAAACCGACAGATAACAACTATTCCCCCAAGTGGCTTCCCTTGGCCACAGAAGCCGACAGAATGGCGAAAAAAAACGTTGGGACTTGGAAAACTAACACCACTAGAAAATTAAGCTGGTTCAGTTTCCAAGGGAAGCCACTTCTTACCAAACTCATGGATCAAGCAAGTTGTTCTGCTTACACTTGATGAAACTTTTTGTGGGTCATAAAGGAAAAGGATAAAATGTTTGTTCAGAAATTACAGGGCGACTACATTGCCGATAAAGAATAGCAACCTAGGGTAAAATATTTGGGGGCAAACGTACAAGGCAAAGCAACATGATATACCTTATTATTTATGTAAATCTTCAGGCGAGTAAGAAGACGAACATTTTTTGGTGCCGTGGGAATTCAAACTAGTAAATATGAAAAATCCAATTCCTCCCTTACAAAGGGAAACTTTCCTAAATACCCAAAACTCCAAATTGTATCAGTACCATTTAGAACCTTACATACTTTTAATACATAAACATAACTTCAATAGCCTGTTGAATTTCATATTAGCTTGAATAGGCCGCTAAAGAGTAACTGGAAAAAGTGATCAAACAATGGCGAAAAATTCAATGTTCAAGGGAGATTAACATCCAAAATCTTGTAAGAGGAAAAAACAAGAGAAGAAAACTCTCGGCACAATTGAAAATAAAACTCAAACAAGGGCCTCAGTGCACAAACTCTATTACCATGAAGAAAGAAGAGAAGATCTCTAAGACAATGAGCAGAATTCAATGTTTAAAGAAGGAACTAAATACTCGTACACTTGCACAATTAATAAAATATGTAAAGGAGTTTGGAGGAATATTTTTACTTGAAAATTGTTGGAGGAATAGATGGAATAGTGGTCTAGAGAGATGGTGCCACCAAGGGTGGATGCAACATGTTGGGTGCAGGTTTCTGGGAACCAGTAGCTTTTGCTGAAATCCTACACATGTCTTAAAATATTCCCTAACTATTTATACTTTTTGTGAACTAGTATTATCGTGTATCAGAAGTCGTCGAAAGAACCCATAAAATTCAACTCCTGGACCCACCTCTGCCTCTAGGTGCCACCAAAAGGATAACCAAAAAAGACACATAATAGTCATAGGAAAAAGAAAAGGAATATCAAACTTATACAAAGAAGAAGCAGCTTTGGCAAAGTAGACATCAGAAGCAGGCCAACAGTAGGCCGGTGTTACACTGGTCTTTACTGACGTCATAGAAGCCCTGATACCATATAAAAAAAATGGAACTTGTCTAGAATAGGTTGGTGAATAACACAACTAAAAGCTCCCTATAAGAAAAAATTTAACTGAAAAAAATAAGGAAAGGTGCGGCTAAAGCAAGTTTCCTACGAAAAGACCATTCAGTGATTACTATGATGGCTTTATATTCAGGAAAAAAATATAGCACTTACTTTTTACGCCCTCCCTTACCCTCACCAGACCTTCCAGATTTGACATTATTTTCAACAGTGGTAGCAGGAGCTCCAGTAACAACAGCAGTATCCCGTTCTGCATAAAAGAGAAAGTTGTTCTACAGTCAGAGAATGCATAAGTTATGCCACTGTTCTTGGTGAAAAGATGAGGAAGCTGATACAGACATACCTCTCCGGAGATCTTCGTCAAACTTTTTCAAGTACTGATCAAGCTGCTGAATATGAGCATCTACCTGTTGCAAGAATTTTCTCACTGATTGCCATAAAGAGTAGATTAATGATCCAATAATAAACAAAACCTACTACCCTTACCAAACCTCAATTTCAAACCACACAATTATTACTTATCTGAGAAGGAATAAAAACAAAAGTATATACCAGTGAAGCAATGTGTACAACCAATCATTTACTCCTCCTCATTGTATCAGTTTGTATTTATGCATGATATTCATTCAGTTAACACCTGGCAGATCTCGTCTAAGTGCATCTTGGAGCATATTTTCAAGGAAGTTCACACCTAAAATTTAGTTTAATAAGGGATTCAGCAACCAAAACTAAGTTCATGTCTGGGTTGCTCAAATAAAAATCTTACAGAAGCTCCTTAGTTAGTGGCCTTTAGGAATTTATACAACTTTTCGGGACATGATTTTATGATCACAATTCACAATCATGATCATTTTTGTGTCCTTGAAATAAAATTGGAAAACTTACCTATCCACCATATATTCAAACAGGAACTTGGTAATAATTGTCATTCAAAACCAGCCTCTAAGTAATGCCGTAAGTTTTCTCTTCTGTAATTCAGGAACAAAGGGAATTTAGACAAATACTTTCTTCTAAAGGTCAAGGATTAACACTCTTCTTCAAAGATTAACTCATAAACATTTCTATATTCTATCCCATTCAAGTATCAAGTGAATAAGACTAAGTAACTTCACGACGATCATCATAATCCAACTTACAAAGAAAGCTAAAATAAGGAGTCTGAACAACTAAGCTTATAGCAAATGCACCTAGAATAGATTGAAGTGAAGGAACTGTGAACATTGAACGAAACAGTTTGCTTGATGTAGAAAGAAGATGCAGTTTCCAAAATCCCTACCAGATCATATGCCTGAGAAGCTAGTGCAACTTTTTCATCAGCAATCCTGATTGCATGCTTTTGCTCATCCAATGCATCGTCAGAGAATTTGATTAGTGAAGAGTCTGGTGTCACATTACCAGCCTTAATACGCTGTATCATATCCTCTATTTCTTTGTCACAACGTTGTTCATTTTGGGTCTGGACTCCTGTTCAGAAAAAAAAGCACTTATTTGGTAATAATGCCACAAACTAAGAAACGAAGAAACAGCATACACATTAAACCTGATGTGCTTGTGTCGAGCTACAAACACAGCAATAATAAATGCTATTGAGAATCTTAGAAAATTACCCTATCTTCTTTTAGCCAATCAGGAGTATATTTATCAACATCGTTTTTTGCATTCTAAAAAAAAAACAAAGGAGCCAGTGGCAACCAGAAGACCAAAGCATTACTGTTCTGTTTCAGCAATTTAATGAGGATATACCAGTGAATCTTCTACAGTTCCACTAAGCTAATTGCATTAGTAGACATTTCATTAGATATAATGCAATGGGACTCAAAATACATAACATTTCCACACTCAGAAAATTATCAATCGACTCAACAATGTACAAATGTTCTTAATAAGCACATCAAAATGGAAAGTCAGAAAGAAACTAACTCGCTAAGAGAACATTATTAGTCCAATAATATATAAAGTTTGAACTATTAAGTAATACCTTGCAGACTTTTATCCAAATCACGCAGCAACGCATACTTCCTCCGCAAATGGTTCGGAAGAGCTTCGATATCTGAGATAATATCATCAACATAGCAACTTGTTAAAAATCAAACCATGATTGCACAGAGGAATAACTAATTCCTATATAATTAATCACACATCACTCTTACACAGACAATACTAAAAATCACACTCGAATACTAAAAATCACTCTCGAGTGTTCCACGTCACTTAGGCAGCGCTTCAATTCAGGGACCAGAACAATAAAAACCGTGCATCTTATCGCTAATCGTTTCTACCATGAACTCATCACTAAACAATAACTATTTCACTTAATCACTAAAATCGACTTAATCTAATCCAATTTAGCTCGAAAAAATTAGTCATATTGACCAAAAGCTACACACAAATTCTCATTGGCTATTCATTTAAGTCTTCGGGTAGCACCACTAGATCTTCAACAAGGTGGAAATTCTCGTATTCCAGCTCGGATGAGTATATTTATTTATATCATTATAGCTATAAACACTTGTTTCTTTTTTTTTCTATTAACAAAAAATCCCCTTTTTCCTCGCGAAGCGAAACATGACAACTATTTTAACACATATAAAGTACACAGCATCCTTAGAATTGTACTGAATTTATTTTTTCTCAATTTCAGGCTTATGAATTCGAAACAAAAATTCAATCTTTACATGAATCTATAGAACAGAAACTGAAACGGATTCAAAAAAATTCAAAAAAAAATAAAAATTGAAACTTACTGGCTTGAAATTCTTCGATGAATGACATTTTTCTGAGAATTTTAAACAGCTAACGATGAATTATTGATTTTGAGTTTGAAGCCCTAATATGGGCTTCGATTAGAATTAGCTCAACATATTTTTACTTTTTAAAAGTTTCTGAAATTTGTAAAAATCAATCTTATATAGAGTTTCTTAAACGGGCTCGGGGCGGATTCGGAGCGGGTGGGTTTTCGCGGGGCGGGTTGATCCTCTTGCGGATAGGTGCAAGGCAGAGCGAGTTAAAGTAAAATTCTTTTAAAAATCTCACGTAGAACGGGGTGAATTACGGATTTCATAAATCTATTTTAAGTATATTATTAAGATATTGTTTTGCTGTCACTGTATTTATAAGAGAAATATATATGAATCATACTAAATACATGTATCTAGGATATCGGATACAACAAAAGAGCCGAATGAAAGAGAAGGGATGCGAGCGAAAAGTCATATATACGTGTGAATCCATTAGGATATAATATATTTAAAACAAATTATACTTAATTTTGACCTCATGTATATAAAGTCCAAAATTTTGTAACATTTGCAAATATTGCTAACTGGCATGAATCTAATTAATTAGCTCGTAAAATAGTAGGAAATTTATAAATTTCTTTTTTCTTTTTTTTTTGAATTTTTTTAAAGAAAATATTGTTACCTAATTTATATCGTAAACATATAGCCTAAAATAAGTTATAAAAATTTAGCCCAAAATTCAATCAAATATACAAAATTTGCTAATACAATATTATACACCTAATATACATTATTATACACTTTTACAAATAAAAACTTATTTCGTTTGTTTCCTTGAATCGAAGCACTAGATTCGTCCAAAACACATCAAAAACTACATGAAATCACTCAAAAATTGAGAATCATGATCCTCAACACGTACTGATTTTTCAAAACAACAATCCCTCAAAACTTAGCTTATTTCCGGAAAAATCGAAATTCCAAATTTCAAAGTTTTAAACTTCAACATGGTTGAATATCAATTCTCTGATAACTATCGCAAAAAAAAATGATTTTATATCTTTTGTGCACATATGAACTTCTTATGACAGGACGAGAAGGAGTTGCTCGGATACTAAGCATCCCCACTGAACTTTAAAATATATATAGTTACAAAATCTTCATAAACATAATTTAACTTTATTTCATAAAAAAAAAATCAAGTCGATGAATAACTGGTCAATATTCATATACAAATATCTCTTATTAGTTAAAAAACGGAAAAACTAAATTAGTCGAAAGATAATAATCGATTTAAGAACCCTCTTTCACATAACACTTTCATATATAATGGCTATATTCTAACTAAACTTCAACAAATCCATATATTCACTTGTTCCCAAAAATAAGGTCACTAACTCACTCACAAAAAAACAAATAATAAAACCAATTATATCATATTCATACCTAACAACTTAATATCATTATTACTAAGATCTTATCAATGTACTAAAAAGAACAAAAAAGGCAGTTCAAATCATTTTTTATAATTATCATTGTCGGTATAATCTTAAAAATAGCATCAAACAAATAATAGAAACAACATTTGAAAAGGGTAATGCAAAAAAGACATTTTAAAATATATATATATAATCGAACCCGTGACCTATGGCTCCTTTACATCCCTCCCAAGGAGATCGCCTCTTACCAATTGAGCTGCATCTATAATAGGTGAAAACGGACTGTTATTGACTATTTAGCCTATTCATTCTATTATGGCTGACTTGAAGACATCACGAGAGTCCGATCATCATTTCTATCTGGATACAATCATAACTTCATTCTACGAAATTCACGATTTTCTTAATCACCTTATTCGGATTAAGACGTGACTAAAGTGATTAAATTAATAGAAGCCATCAAAATTCATACAACAAAAATAATGAAATCACTTGCTAATGATGATTTGCTTAATGTATAATCAACAAAATTATGAAAATTAATAGCCTCGAGCACCGTTCCTTTCTGTCCAACGGTACTAATCACTAGTAATATAATAAATTAATTAATTATAATTCCCCTTAAACGCGTAATTAACAAGGACCCCATATATTCTTTTCTATTAAAAAATAATTTAAATGATAGACCAAAACATTAATATAAAAGAATTTTTATACCATCATGTCATCTTTATTTGTTAAAACAAGTTACATGTTTTTATAATTTAAAATAATTTATTTGTAGATATCTTTAAGGTAAATTAGAGTATAAAGAAAATGTAACACTTAGAATGTAACTTGTTAATAAGTTTTATTTAGATGTTTGAACTATGATTTTGATTAAGTATATGATATATAATAGGCATAATACATATATTAAATTCTAAACGTGACTTCAAATTTTAACTTTAACCTTCAATTTTCATAGTGCACAAACAGACACTTTAACTATCTAACCTTTTAATAAATAAACACACGAGACTTACCTGGCAAAACGCGTGATGTGCACGTATTTTACGCGAGTGAGGTGTAATTTTTGAGGCCCAAACCAGAATAAAAATAAAATGACAACTCTACCCTTAATGAATTCCTTTTATATATATTTTTATATTTCCAAATCAAAATTTCATTTTTTTTAATTCTAAAAATGACGTGTAAAATATTTAATTAGTTGACTGTCATTGAGTGACTCAAAAATACACGTGGGAGCGTTTGCATTTCACTCTCTTCACCTCCACAACTCGCGTGTTAATTTATTTTAAAGGAAAGATAGATTAATTGTTTGTTCGTGCACTACCAAACTTGAAGGGAAAAGTTAAATAATAAAGTCAAAATAAAGGTCTAATATATGTATTATGCGTGTAGAATGATATTTTTCGATTAGACATTTTTTTGATTTAAATCTCAAAAAACATGCATGGCTGGCATGGATATAATAAGGTCAAACTTATTTGCACTAACCTAATTTTGTCATCTTATATTTGTCTTGCATGGCTAAAAGTCTTAAAAACAATCAAAGTGTTTGCTTTTACAGCCTTAGATCCTCTTTCTTCATTTTCACTCTTTTACTTTTTTATTTTACTTTATTTTATTTTCCTTTAGACTAATAATTTTTAAGAATTAAAATAATAAGATTTGGAAACATTTGATGAATTAATTGTGTACAAAAATTATAAAGGGATAAAGAAAACTACTTCAAGTTTCTTTTTTTTTTCCTTGATTTGGTTTTGAAATGATCAAACATAGCATACTACATGATTATCCTAGCTAGTATTATATTATATATTATATTGTGGGAAATAAAATAAAACCATGTGTTCAAATTATTTGTGATAATGAGGTTCAAAGATGGATTTAGAATTTTTAAGCTATGGATTTTGAATTACGATGCTCATTCATGTTCTGAATGATTATTTATACATATTAATTAAGTAATTTTTTAAAAACGCGAATTGATATATAAATCATAATAAAATTATTGAATTCTACTGAATTGATATAACCATAATGGTGGCTTTACCTCTAATAGGGTAAGGTAAAAATTTCGCGAGATCATGGCGACTCAATATAATTCGAGGTCTACAACAAAATTTTAATTAGAGACTTAAAATTTAAATAAATATTATTTATTTTTCTAAAATTTTAAATGTAAATTATTACTTAATATCTTTTTTACAAATGATGTTTTCAAATACTTTTTTTTAATTATTATTTTAAAGTAAGTTTTTATCAATTTTACATTGAAACATCATGTTATTGAGACAATTATTATATGAATCGATAATATAGTTTTATAAATAATAAGTTGCTAAATTTTAAATAAAGATAACAGTTAGAATCATATGATTTGATTCAAAAAATTGATAACTTGGTATAACCTACTTTAATATGAAAAGTTACAAAAAATAAAAGAATATTTAATAATAATTTACTTTGTTCCACAATTTTCAGCTATTTATTCATATTTTTGACAGAATATTACTCTAATTATTAAAGATTTGAAGAAATAGAGTGCATGAAGAGTTAAAAAATATAAATAACGTGAGTGTTAGCAAATATATATATATATATTTTTTATTATAAATAATTATTTTTTTCATAAAAAAATTAAACATGACTTTTTAATTTATAGAAATTTGAGGCCTAAGGCATTAGCCTAAAATTTCTAAGGCAAGAACCGGCATTGGTGAGATCTAGAGAAGAGTCGGACCATCAAAATCTATTGATTGTGAAATATTTATAAAATTTAAATATTAAATTCGCCTCTGTGTATATATGTAACAAAATGTGAAATAAATGAAACTCAAAATGTACCACACAGCTAAGACAAAATATATTATGTATAATAAATTCCAGCACATATTCACTCCAATAGTTATAGTCATGTGAAAAAAAAATTGGTAGTTGTTATTCATGTGAATTATTTAATACAACCTCTCTATTTAAAAAAATATATAGTCTGGTGCACTAAGTTCTGACTGCGTATTGAGTTTGAGGAAAGAGCTTAGCTACAAGGATCTGTTGTACGTAATCTTATTCCGCATTTCTGCAGAAAACTTTTTCCATGGCTCGAAACCCTTGACCTTTTGATGCATGTAGCAATAACTTTATCAGTTACGACAATGCTCCTCTTTCTTATAAGGAGCTTCATTCTCTCTCACATGCTTTTGGAGTGTTTTGTTTACTTTGAATTCAAGTCTTAAACTCACACCTTCACCTTTTTCTTTCAAGTAAATTAACAAAAGGGTTAGTATTAACTTATTGTTTATTATTTTCTAATCATTCTCTATTACAAGTTCTTAATGTACTTTCTTAATTGCTTGTATATTTTGAACAAAGATTAATCAATTAACTTCTTGTTATAAAGTTTAATTCAAGTGAAAGAAATGAAGGTACATTATAAACAATTCTATATATGATGCTTTTTTGGTGTGAAATTCAAAAAAGTTTTAAAATTTTCCTTAGTAGTTAATAGTAGGTAAACAAATAGAGAAAACTTAATGATTTTACTTAGTACTAACTATTCATGTAACTTATTTTGTTCAGTATTGTGAGGATTCATCATAAATTGACTAGTTTTACGCACCAGCAATGTGAGCAAGCTCATACAAGCAGAGTTATTTTATTCGTAAAAAAAGTAAATTTTCTCCTTTAACAAGTTAT